CCCTCCTCCTCCACCTAATACTGCCCCGTTCATTGCGCCCCCACCTGTTCGGCCTTTCGGTGGCCCATTGGGGTTCCCTGGTAAGTAACATTTGCAATCTAGTTTCATGGTTTGAGTTTCTGAGTTGACCATAATGTTTCTCTTTCTTTTTAGAATTGGCATCTCCTGTGTATTATGTTCAACCTCCACCTCCAGAATCGCTTAGAGGTGTGCCTTTTATTGCACCGATGCCGCCAGTGTTTTTTCCTGCTCCAGATCCTCAGTTGCATACTAGGATAGTGAATCAAATAGATTATTATTTCAGGTAATGTTTCTGTTGCTTAATTTGAAGTGGAAGTACTAATAGTAATTATTATTACTTTTTTTTTCAGTTACTTGTCTTCAAATCAGTTCTTATTCTCACTTTTGCTTGTGTTTTGCAGTAATGACAACTTAATTAAAGACACATACTTGAGGCAGAACATGGATGACCAGGGCTGGGTTCCTATAAAATTGATAGCTGGCTTCAACAAAGTGAGTTGTTCAGAGTTACTTTTCTAACTTTCTATATATGCTGATTGTGTCTTATGCAATATTTAGCTTATTCATGACATTTGTTTCTTGCTATCTGACCACTTTAGCTCTACGAGTTGGTTTTATTGTGGGAAATCCATGTGAAATGCTACATTCCAATTTATTCCAATTAATGGTTTAAGAGTGATACAGAAAGCAGTACAAGTTAAAGAGCATGCTATAGCTTTTATTCATTTTCATTTTCCTTAGAATTTAAAGTTCTCTTTATTGCCAGATGGTAGGGGCTAAATCTTAAGCTAAAATTATTGGACAATTGGGAAAGGTGCTAACACATAATAAACTTGGGTTTATATATATTGCCTAACATCGGAGGAGAGAAGTATGGTTTATTTTTTTGCCTTTCCAATATCAATTTTAAGTTAAATAGGTTCTCATTCTTGATGTTTAAAGCATGAACGGTTGCAATTCGGTGCATAATGTATCTAAATGAGTCATAGATCTTGTATTTTTGTCTTAAAATTTATTTATATATTGTATTGTAATGTATACTACAATTTGCTATAATGGAAGTGAAGTATTCTAGTGACATGATCGTTTTCCGTTAGAATAACTTGTTTGTCCATCTGTTGTGATCTGTCCTCAATGCTTGCTTGTACCAGCCTGTTACATTTGACTGCATGCATGGTTAATAATGTCTGGAAGTAAGTGATGCCATATTTACATGCAATATAAAAAGTATTGCAGAAAGGTTGGGAAAAGCATTGCTTTATATCATCTGATATACGGCTGCATATCATCCTTTAGTTTAGAATTAAGTTTGGATGAATTTTTACTCCAGGAAATCTGTCCAAAATTACTAATTTTGATGAAATGAGTAGGTTGGAAATTGCATATCACTTTGAGTTCAGTGTTTCATAAGCACTGGATCAAATGTATGTGTATCACATACATTTTCATATCAGATTACCTAACTGGTTAATGATTCAACAATGCGTATGGGACCACTAGTTTGGATTTTGGTGACATGAGGTTTAAACTATTTATGTGCATTTCCTCTATGTAGTTTCCAGCTGTTGAACTAATGTCTTGAACATGGTAAAAAGTTCTTTTACTTGTATGTATGTGATTATGGGAATTTGGGAATCCCTGGTTTCTTGAATGCTGAAAGATGTAGAAAGTGTTGGTTTATGTTTTTTCTTTTTTGAAGGCAATGTGATTGATGAATCTTTCGCTGTTGTCATTGTGCTGATGATGCTAATCATTTATTTTCTTCATTAACATGCATTTACAGTCGTTAATGGTACAATCTGCAAAGGTATTAGGATCATTATTCTTGTATTTTTGTCCTGTTCCTCTAATAACTAATGCTTGCTACTTTTTATGGAATATTCTTATGCTATCATTGACTTTCCTGCTTTCTGAATGGCGAGATTGTACCATAGTGTTATATAACATTCCTTAGAGTTGTTGCAAAGAAGTACATTTTCAGGTTTATATATGCTTTTCAGGTTTCACATTTGACTGATAATATTCAGCTAATTTTGGATGCTATGAGAAGCTCAACTGTTGTGGAAGTGCAGGTTCGATTTCCTGAAATCCACTTCAGATCAGTATTTTTTGAATGTTCTTCTATCCATCTTGGTTCCTTCTGCTTCCTCTGTTTTGATTAAGTTGCTAAGATTAGAAATATCCAAGTTAACAGCCTATATGGTTATTTTGGAATCATTACTAAAGATGTAAAGGAACAGAAGATTGTGCGTACATGATATTCACTTACAGATGTTAATTCATGGATTGTTTGGTTCAAATGTTAATTCTATACAATAGGATTGAGAGTACAATATAAATGAGATAAATATTTGAATAAAGATAGAATTTTAATTCTAAATCAATTTTTTGTTCAATTTAAATAAGGTGTTTTTGGGAGAAAATAAATCTATAATTGTGGTATTTTAACAAAAGCTGAGTTGGTTCAATTATTTATCTAAACTATAACTAAAACCTACATATCAGATTTTTAAGAATTAGGAATAGAATGGAAACATGGTAGACTTAAACCAAATGGAGCATAGAATAAAAAGATTTGAGCAAAGTACCGTGTAAAATGGGGTTCACCAGTCTGTACTTTTAATTGTTTTATAACTCTGTTCTTGTAGGGTGACAAAATAAGGAAGCGCAATGATTGGATGAGGTGGATTATGCCTCCCTCTGTTCAATTTCCCAATGCCTCAAATCCCCAACACATGGCAAAGTCCAGTCATGATATGTTGGCAGGGCGGTTCCAAAATATTTCACTGGAGCGTAGATCATCCTCAGGCGATTTGAGTAGCCAGTCACATCTACCTTCTGGCGATGGAGCAGGTCATTTCAGTGTTCAGATGGGTGCGGATCGCTCTGTGTCATCAAGAAATTTGAATTAGTAATTCGAATTCAAATTAGAGAAATGTGCTCTGGTGCACATTTTCTTTGTAAGAAGAATTTTCTTAGAAGGACGGGAACGAAAGAAGTATTTTGACGATAATAATGGGGAATATTTGCATATTTTGCAGATAAGATAGTGGTCTTGCCCCACCTGATAAACCATTATTTTCTCTTGAGGCAAATAGGAAAACAATTGCAAGGAGGTAAAAAAGTGACAGCTTTCTCAAACACAAGGAAATCTTTCTTTTTCTTCTTTTTTTTCTTTTTTAAAAAAAATGGCAACTTTTTTAGACTTGAGCTAGCAGCACAACTTTATTGGCATGTATCTATATGGCTATGGTTTTGTGGGTGTGTTACCTTTTTTACCTCATTATTTGGTGATGGTGGGAAATGGTTGGTGTTTGATGTGGGGAATTTTGGTTTTGTTTCCCCTTTGCCTGCTGGCCCCTCAGCTATTTTTTTTAATCAAATCTTTGGGGTCAAATGGCTTTTGGCAATTGGAGGAAGTATATGAAGAAGAGCAGGGTGTTATGGACCAGTCTGGAGTCTGGGCGCGGCTGCAGTCTGCAAGTGATGAGGATGGCAAATGAGAGGGGATGACTGGCTTCTGGTGGATGCTGCAGCAGCTCCTGCTTCATCTGCTAATGCTTTGTTCTTGATCAGACATTTTTCTTTTCATAAATTCTCTCTTGGATTTTTATCATATATATTGTTATATGTAAAACTATCTTCAGACTTTTTGAAGAATTCATTGCATAAAAATGGTCGTTCCAGGACCAACATTTGGAACTTTTGCTTGAATGGTTTACAGTTTAACTTGAGATTCGGTGCTTGTAGACTTGGATGATGGAGTTATTATAACTAGCATCAATTAAATTAATTTGTTACCTTCAAAAACCAAAGCTTTATATGTATTTCGAAAAGTAAACCAAATAAATAGAAGAAAACCAGAGCACTAGACTAACAACCAAGGCTTCTGGCCCGTGAGTAAAATAATTGAAACTTGTTTATCAGTTTCAACTTTCTTGTTCTGTACACTTAAATATCATAAAATATGTATATATATATATAAATATATGTAAATCTTGCTTTGCAAAATAAATATGCGGGTGATGATGGCAAAATTTGAGAGTTGCGTAAAATAAAAACCACAGGGTGATGAAAGAAATGGCAGACCAAAACGGTTAGCATTGATTTAGTTTTTCCCTCTTTTTTTTAATAACTTTTTCAACAGCAAGTCAAAGTCGTCCCTCCCCTCCCCTCCACCTCCACTCCACCCCAGTAGGCCTGTTCGAAATGGGACCCACCATAATCCTCCACCGCACGATCATCTCGGTCTACGTGCTCCTTGGTAGTAGAGTTTCATCCAACGGTTACGAGGCGGCCGATGGGTCTGAGTCACGTCTAATGGCATGTAAATAATACACATGCATGCATGTCATAACATTAACATGAACCGTGACAGACTTTTAAATTAAACACATGAGGAGTAATTTTCCTTTTTTTTTTTTTTTTTGTTAATTAAATACATACGGAATGGGAAAGTAATGAATTATGTAGAAGAATCGTATGATTCTGTTAATAAAGTTTTAACGGATAAGACGGAAAATGGAATCGAAAAGGAAACGAAATTAGGAGGTGGGGGCCAGGGAGACGCGGTTAATGAGCTGAGAGCACCTACAAAAGTCTTGAGAGTTCGGGACAGCGTAACGATCGGCTGACACGTGTCCACCCCCACACGGTCTCATTTTCATGTTACCCCCCGTTACTTCCGAGTGCGGGTAAATTTAAGTGTAGGGTGGGAGATGGGAGGGGACTTAAAAAGTTTATATAAAATTATAATGGTCGTTTTTAAATAGGCACTAGTAGTAGTAGCTACTCTTATCACTTTGGGTACTGGTTTTTCCTTTCCTTTATTTTATTTTTCTAAAAGAAGTTGAATACAAATAAAACTAAAATCAATTATAAAAAACTTCCCATATATAAAAACCTACCCCTACTCCTACCAAGTACGCACGCACCAGAGTTAAAAAAGAGTAGTAGTAGTAGTAATAGTGTGTGTGTTATACATATATCTGCTAGTATTGATTTTATTATAAATTAAATGCATAAATTATGATTTAAATAATCTTTTTTGGATATAAATTTATAGAAAACCCATTATATAACCTATGTTTTAATTACAATAATTTTTAGATTTGTACGTAATTCATCTTAAATCTATGTATTTTGTAAATAATAAAAAAACACATCTTTAACAGTTGTAAAATATTAGTAAATGAGAATTTCAAAAAAAAAAAAAAAGGAATTAAGTAAACAGTTGAGAAGGAGAGTAGAGAGAGAGGTGAGAGGAGGGGCCTGATACGTGAAAGGTATAGAACGAAAGAAATGATTGCAGAGAGAGAGAGAGAGAGAGAGAGAGAGAGGATTTTCCCGAGAAAAGTGAAGTGTTGAGGAGAGGAAAAAAAGAGAGAGAAAGAGAAACGAGGGAACATAGTATTATCCGATGAACAAAACAGGTGTCCAAATCTAAAGAGAAGAAAGAATCTGTCTGCAACTACCCGTACAGTTTGCTCTGCCTGCAACATTGCCTTCCTTCCTTTTAATTAGATTAAATTAGGGTTTCTTCTCTCGGGAAACAGTAATATCCGTCAAATCATTTTCAGATACAATTTTTTCTTTTTTTCTTTTTTTCTTTCTTTTTTTACCATTTCTCTCCCCTCCCGTCCACTTGTTCTTCTTCAGCTTCTCTGCAACTACAACTGCCGCTCTTTCCATTATATTTCAACAGCTGGCCCGATGCCATTTCACTTCATCCCTCTGTCTCGCCCACATATATAATGTATCTATCTATACATGTGCTGTACATACTGCACGACAACATACTATTTTCTTATTAATGGAAATTCTATTATTAATGGCAATTTCCTCCACTCCGTCCGCCTACCGCCAATCTTCATTCCATAAGCATTTCTAGTTTGTGATTCATTTTTCAGTTTATTGTTTCTCTTCATGTATAAAATCTAAGTTTCTCTATATTATTTTGACCTCCATCAGCGATTTCTTAAAAAGCAATACATATATATATGTATATGATCTTCTGAACTATTCAAACACAACCAACAGATCACAGGATACCCAGATTCACTCTAAATATTCATTAGTTGAAGAGCTGAAAATTTGACCATTTGTGCCGAGTTAGACGACCCATTATAGGTTTAGATTTAGTGAATCTAACTCTTCTTTCAATTTCATCCTAATCATTTAATTATTGCCTTTTATGTTATATATTATATAAATTAATATATATTTTCGAAACAAGTATAAAGCATGTGGGGTCCCATACATCATACCAGAAATGACCAATGACATATTAAGCCGTTGATGCGTGTGTAATAGTGATCTGGGCACTTCTCTCCTTTTCCCTCCTCTCTCTCTCTCTCTCTCTCTCTCTCTCTAAACACAGTAACCTTCTTTCAGATAGGACGAGACGATACCACCCTTCTTCCTTCCCTTTTTTTGCCCTAATATGTTGACATCGCCCCCCGGAGAAGACAACAACTATACCATCTCCAACAAGTCCCCATCTCTCAGCAGACTCTCCTCGCTTTCATCTTCAACTTCCTCTTCATCCCCTTCTCCCCATCTTCATTATAGCCACACTACACCCAAATCCATGGAGGAGGTTTGGAAAGACATCAATCTTTCTTCTCTTCACCATAACTCCACTCCTAACCAAGAACACATCAATCATAATTCTCACTTCATTTTCCAAGACTTTCTTGCTCGCCCTTTTGACAACAAGGACCCTCCAACAAATGGCGAGACTACTAATCTTAACAATACTCCTGCGCCCCTTTACGCCTCTTCTCTCCCCCCGCCTGCCACTGTTCTTAGCCTGAATTCCACTCCTGGTTTTGATTTTCTTGACACTTCCCATCCCCTAGTCCCCCACAATATTTCCAGTGTCTCTTCTTTTGCTACTCCTTTTCATGCTTTGGCTTCCTCTTCCACCTTTGGCAAGAAAAGGGTGCAAGATTCTGATCATGGCGGCTCTGTTGATCGCCGCCAAAAGAGAATGATCAAGAACCGGGAATCTGCCGCCAGATCAAGAGCTAGAAAGCAGGAACAATATTCATTCACTCTCTCTTTCTCTCTCTCTCTCTCTCTCTCTCTCTCTCTCTCTCTCTCTCTCTCTCTCTCTATCTTTCTCGCTCTCTATTTGTCTTTGTCTCGTTTTTTGTTTTCCTTAATTTACGATTAATGGAATAGTCTTCTTACTATCTTTCCCTCCTCAAGAGTTTTCTCTATTTATCTCCTTTGTCATTTTTCTTCCCGGGATGATTGCAGGCTTATACAAACGAGTTGGAACTTGAAGTTTCCCACCTACTGGAGGAGAATGCAAGGCTCAAGAGACAGCAAGAACAGGTAATTAAATATCACCTACCTAAAATGGTCAATATAAATTACACACACACACGTACACTCACTTATAGTATATAATGACTTTATTTTTCTTTTTGTTCCTTGGACAACGCTGTTTTTGGAAGCTAATATGCTTAATTAAAAAAGATATTATAAAAATATTGATGAAATTGATGCTCACTCTTGTTTTCCTTATCTATCCCAATATGATGCAGTTGTGCTTGGCTTCCGCCGCTCAACTCTCCAAAAGGAACACGCTTCAGCGCACGTCCACAGCCCCATTTTAATTTGACGACTTACAGCTTTTAATCCTTCGACTCCTTTTCTATAACTTCATATTTATAAAATAAGATATATGTATTAACTGCGTTGTTAGCTCCCTCTTCAAGTCAACAAAGAGAAGGTAGAAGAGGAGCAGTGCGTGCTGATTATTTATGGTGGAAAGAAAGAAGGTTGGTTGTGTTGTAACCTATTAGCAGAGTAGATTATATATATTATATTATATGGTGGGTATGTTTAATTTTCAGGAGAAAACATGTAGGCATATGAAAAGGAACTGTCTTTGTATTCCATAGAGGCTGGAGGTCTGGTTTGGTTGGTGGGTCTTTTGGCTTGTATCTTTTTGCTCATCATATTTTGACCAATTTTTGTAGACCTTCGTCTATTTTTTATATTTTATTTCTCATAAAATCGATCTGTTAAGTATTACATGCGGTATGTATGCACCACGCGGAGGGGGGTAAGGATGAGTGTAAACGAAGACGACCTCAGAACGTGTGTGTGTATAGATATATATGTGTATGTTTATATATGCATCCAAGAAAGTGTAAGGTGGGAATTAAAAGAGGAAAAGATCATGGGGAACAGCTTGTTCATGTAAATTGGTTTCTATCACTATCACTGACTTCTTTATCTTTTATCTTCTTCCTCCATTTTAGGATCAGAACACCCTGCGTGGGGTCTGCTCTTAGAAATTACTGTACGGTCTTATCCTTCTCTATGTTTTGTTGGGTGTCTCATTTGTACACATGCCTTCATTTTGATTCCAAGACAATTCGAATCCACTAGGAAAACCATTTGCTTCATCAACAAGGTCAAGTACCCAACGCACTGTACGCATTTGCCTATTATGCTTATTTGGGCTCTAGAATTAATCTGTCTTTTAAGTTTGAACATGCTTAACCAGTTGAATATACGAAATGAGCCATCTGTTTTACTGATACCTTCCTTGAATTTAGCCAAAAGGGTGTCATTGATGTGTTTCTCGTTTGTTATATGCATATTTTAGCATGTATCTACTAGATACACCATATATATGTTTTCAAGAACATAACAAGACAAATGTGTCGATTAGAATCTTGGATTCATTAGTTCATTTCAAATGTTTCAAATAAATATGTCATTTTACATCCTAAATTCCCCCAAGAAAGCATTTTCTTTATATTTGTAGTTAGAGATGACAATAACAAAAATTATGTACAATTTTGACTCTTTCTTTTGAATAAAATGTGTTGGGTTGGATAGACTTAATTAAATCTGGATTTTTTTAGTATTCGTTTTAGAATTACAAAATTATAAGGTGATATAAATTTAAAAAATAATTATTATTAGTTTTTTTAAGAAATAAATTTTGTTTATAATTTAATTATTTTACTAATAAACAACCTTACATAATAAAAATACATATAAATATGTAAAAAGTTATTAACAAAATTAAGAAAAATACTATGTTACTTTCTTAAAAAAAAAAAAAAAAATGGGAGGAAGAAAAACCAGAAGAGGGAAGGTCTAGATATGGAAGGAAGAAAACCATATAATCAACTCTTGAGTCAGCTCTTCTCTTTTCTGAAACTCCTGATATTCCCCCATGGAAAACCTGCACAGAGGACAAGTCTTTCTGCTTCCATTACTCGACCACCATTTCTCAACGCACTCTTTATGGAACTCATGCAAGCAAGGAAGCACCTGCGTCTCCTCCCCGTCCTCCAACCCACAAAGACACACACAGCACAAGTTTCCACCTTCACTGCCCCCGCACCCGTAGCCGGAGCTCGCTGCCGCCGGCAAATTCGTCCCCACAGTACTGGTTTTCACCTGACAGAATGGGCGTTTCTCTTTCAGGATTTCCGTATGAAGCAAACCATGAAGGAGAGGCAGCAAGTTTGTGAAGATTTTCATCTGGGTTTTAAAGCAGATCAGTTCCAGATCAATAATATTAATTTGACCGTCCCTTTTAATAAGAGTTCTTAAAATTTCTTCCTTTTGTTTTTTTTTTTTTTTTTTTTGCTTTTGGGTTGGTGAGTTGTTTTGCGTGGTTTGGGAGAAACAAGTTATGTGCAGCCATCACAAGAGGTGCACTAACAAGAGTGTTACTCTCAACTCTCCTCTTCAATTCCCTTTCTATCTCCATATCTATAATATATATTGTATAAATCAAATTATCCGCCATGGGAACTTGACGTTTAAGCTCCATTTCATTTTTGGGTTTTCGTATATAGCGATCAATTGATACCCTCCTGTGTGTTTTTTCGTACTATTTTCGTTTGTAAGCCGAACTTACGTATAAAATATCTATTTATTGTACTTGAATAAAAACATTGCGACAAATCAAATGCTTCACATCACGCTATTTAACTTGCATAAAGTCAACAGTCTCATATTGGTCCAGCCCAGCGTGGATTCGGTCTGGCCCGATCCGAACTTATTAATATTTTATAATATTAAAAATTTAAATAATAATAATTATCTGAATATTAAATATTAAATATTAAATATATAAATTTTGTTTACTCTTAAACTTTTATATACTTTCACTATATTTCTTAAATCAGTACCAAAGAAGAAAAAGAAAAGAAAAGAAAAAAACAAAACAAAACAAACCAAAACAAAACCCAGCTTCTTGGGCTTGGAAACAGCGAGCTGAAACAAGAGAGAGCAAAGGTTTCTCTATCGCCGCACGCTAACACAACCAGATTCTGCAGCCTCTATCATCTCCTCCATTTCCGCCTTCCTCTCTCACTACGCTCCGACCTCTCTCGCCTCTCTCCCCCTATTCTTCGCCTTCATTAACACCATCCCCGCTGCCGCCACACTGCTAGCCTGACCGACTGAAACCAGCATCTGTAAGCGAGCAGCTTTGTCACAAATGGTAAACCTTCGATATAACCAAATTAGCCATTTGATTTTCTTGACGTGTTTCGCGTTTGATTGAATTTTGAACGTGGGCGCTGATTTTACATATTATATTCTGTGTAGTTTCTGACCGTCGTTAAATGAGTTCTTGAGACATGTTTTCGGGGCTTGATTAAATTCTTTTTCCCTTTTTTGTTTGTCCTCGTTGTTTCTTATTTTTGTTGAAGTTTATTGAGACAATAGTTGTTTGCTTAGGTGTTTGAATAAAAGCCAATGTTGATTGGATACAAGTCAATGGCTGATTTGTGGTATAAATTAATGTTGCGCGTAATCACTAATTCCCCAAATGAATCTAGCTGGGGTATGATTCGAAGGAACAAATTAGTTTTGTAGAATTTTTGTATAGGTTGTATAGTTAGTTGAAGCAAGAAAACATGAAGATTTAAAATCCAAGTAAATTATGAGCATAATTGAGATATTGTATTTCAAATTAACATTGTTTGCTTCCTATTTATATAAAATCATTTATGATACATTAAATAAAATGACTTCACATGAACTAAGATGTCTAAACGAGTTTCAAAAAATTAATAGCTGTCCTAATGGTTTCCTCAGCATGTACTTTTATCTCATTCACTAGTTGTTTGTTCTATATTCTTTTGGCATAACTGAATCAGTGTTTTGGGAACTGTTTTTAGCATTGCATTGAGTTAGGAATGTTGAAATTTGAACTCCTACACCCTAACAAATCTTAATTGCATATTTCTTAAACCTTATTCACATTTTTTGGGTAACTTCTGGCTTGTTTTGCTTTGATGCAGAGACAGAGAGCGCATCATTAAACCTAAAGGGGTTTAGAGTTTTGGTGTAGGATGTCAGAGGGTTTTCCGGGATAACAAAAATGTGGATAAAGCACCAGATGCTTTAAAGTTACTTAAAGCATTTAGTGCTGATTTAGGAAATAAGCAATTACACACTTTGATAAATATACTTATTGTAAAAGATAGGTATTTGTTGGATTTGAAAGATAAGTACCTTATGGTAAATAGATGTGGACATGTTTTGGAAATAAATAATATGTCAATTTACAAATAGTTAGGAGGGACGTACTTTCTTTTTGTCTCTAAGTTGCTTGTTAGCACCTAATAAACAGCTTGCATATCATATTTTACCGAACAGATAAATTTCAGCAGGGTGCATAAAACTGCTAATAAACAGTTAGGAGAGCCAAATACCTTCTAGAATTGCCTCTAGGTTGTTACTCTCCCAGGAGTGAAACAGGCAAAACAAGTAGCAAATGAATGGCAAGAGTTCAGTGCGACAGTTCTTTAGATTTAATTCGAAACTCTTTTTCTCTCCATTACCTTCTATTTCTTCTTCAAATGCTGAGGACAAGACCATATCTATTTGTCATTCAAGCCTTCATCTTCTCAACAAATGCCAGAACCTAAGGCAGCTCCTCCAAATCCAAGCACATTTGATTGCTACTGGTCTCTTTCGCAACCCATCTTATGCCATCAGAATTTTGAAACGATCTTCACTGGTGGCTGATATTGATTACACCATTTCTATATTTCAATCTGTTGATAAGCTTTACTGTGTAAATACCATCATCAAGGCATACTCAATTAGTTCTGTCCCTCAACAAGGTTTAGTGTTCTACTTTGAGATGCTGAGAAATGGGTTTATACCTGATAGCTACACATTTGTGTCACTTTTTGGTTCTTGTGTAAAAATGGGTTGTATTGAATCTGGCAAGAAGTGTCATGGGCAGGCCATCAAGAATGGAGTTGACCAGGTGCTGCCTGTGCAGAACTCATTGATTCACATGTATGGTTGTGGTGGTATGGTTGAGCTTGCTCATAAATTGTTTATTGAAATGTCAAAGAGAGATGTGGCATCTTGGAACTCAATTGTTGATGGGTATGCAAGAAATGGCAATCTGAATGCTGCCCATGACTTGTTTGACTCCATGCCGGAGAGAAACATAGTTTCTTGGAATGTCATGATAAGCGCATATTTGAAAGGTGGGAATCCTGGGTGCGCCTTAAAGCTATTCAGGGAAATGGTAAAAACAGGATTAAGTGGTAACCACAGAACTATGGCCTGCGTGCTGACTGCATGCGGCCGGTCAGCTAGACTCAAGGAAGGAAGATCAGTTCACGCGAATATCACTAGAACCTTACTAAATTCAGGTATAATCCTTGATACAACTCTTATAGATATGTATTCTAAATGCCAGAAGGTGGTGTTAGCACAGAGACTGTTTGATAAGATGGCGTATAAGAATCAGATTTGCTGGAATGCAATGATATTGGGGCATTGCATTCATGGGAATCCAGAAGATGGGCTAAACTTATTTGCAGACATGGTGGAACAGATGAGGCTAAGAGTAGCAGAGGGCATTTCTCCAGATGTGTTTACTTTTATTGGAGTTCTTTGTGCTTGTGCTCGGGCAGGTTTGTTGACAGAAGGTAGAAAGTACTTCAGCGAAATGATTGATGTATTTAGAATAAAGCCCAACTTTGGACATTTCTGGTGCATGGCTAATCTTTATACTGGGGCTGGGCTTTTTCAAGAGGCGGAGGAAATCTTGAGGAACATGGCAGGAGATGATGAGGATACAGTATCAGAATCCTCTATGTGGGCGAACATACTCAGCTCTTGTCGTTTCCAGGGAGATGTGTCCTTAGGAGAAAAGATAGCCAAATCCTTGATTGACGTGGAACCTGAAAATTTCTCATACTATCGGTTGCTTTTGAACGTGTACGCTGTTGCAGGTCGCTGGGAGGATGTGGCTAGAGTTAAAGAGATGATGAAGGAGAAAAGATTTGGGAGAATGCCTGGATGTGGTCTCGTGGACTTGAAAGAAATTGTTCATGACTTCACGACAGGACACACATGGCAAGAGAAAATGGAGAAGGTTGACAGAGAACCAGCTAAAAGGTCAGGCTTTTAGTACATTTATGATCGTGCACTAGATTAGAGTCAATTTTTCTGTGCATTTTTTGCAAGGACAGTACATGCTTCTAACTTCATTTTCCATTCATTTCAACACATAAATGTCTCCTATCTTTTTGGTGACTTTCCAAGTACTTTTCCTTTTCTATTTTTAAGTTGTAGTTACGAAATACTTAGTCAATTTTATACTCAGTTATGGAAATGATTCTTGATTTTACTACCCATGTTGTTGTCCTGCATGGTATGAGACAAAAATGCATATTGAACCCATTATCCAAGTCCAGCCTTCTTATTTGAACAATTTCTTTTTGCATCTTAGATATGTACCTGCTTGTATTGGAACTTTCTTTTCCTTAGTTTCAACTCATTGAATTTAGGTTAAAATTGCTTTTGCTGTAAAGCGAGAAACAGAAATTTTTGTGGTTAACTAGTTTTCAGTAGAAAGGTTTACCTTTTTTTCATTGTAGGCAGGGACTAATATGAATTATTTTCTGTTTTAGTGGCCAGACCAGCTTTTCTGTAGCAGGCTAATATAATGGAGCATTGGGCTAGGTGGGTGGTATTGTTCGAGAATAACTTTCGGATATTTGGATATCTCTTAATTACTGTTTTGTTTACATCTATTTTATATTTCATTAGCTGATCAGGTATGAATTGTTCAATTGCAGGTTTATGCAGATCAGCAACTTTGAATATTAATGCAGCTGATTCACTGGCTGATGAAATTATAATGAAATTCACTCAAGAAGGTGTTTTGGTGTGTTCCACAGATCAAGCTCATCTTATATACATAAATAAGAAGCATCTGAGTTTCATTTATTTTATTCCAGGATCCTATACCCCTGTGGATTCTTCCTGATGAGTGTTCAAAGAATTTGGATCTTGCCAATTTCTTGTCTGTCCGTAATCTTTCAAAGGTGCATAGTATGAATTTTGCTTCCAGTTGTTTTAGGTTTTATCTCTTTCAGTTATCATCATATCATTTATATATGCTTACAGCCTCCTGGGGAATTCAGTCGAGACTGGTCAAAAAAGTTCCATGAGCAACATCTGAGCTTGTATGATCTAATCATTCTCAAATTTCACTACAGCCCTCGCTATGCAAATGCTGGAACTGTAGGTTACTTTCTTGTTTTGGCTGCTCTGCTTTTCTTAGTATCTTATTGTTTTTTCCTTTTGACAGGAACTTGATCTAATAGCTTTCTTATTAGCTAAAATTGCTTGAAGTTCAAATGCAGGTTTCGGCAAATTTTACTAGGGTCTCTTTAGGGCATGAATTCCATTTATGAGATGGAATTCTCTCTGAATATGTTATATTATACTCTTCAACAGTAGTTCACTGGATAGTCCTTTTTCCCCTTTCGTGTTATTATGCCAATTAAATTAGTATTGATTGGGAAAATTTTGCAATCTAGAAGACCAGATGCACATATTGAATAACACCTATCTGTGATTTCTGGTTATTTCTTATGCAGGTATTCAAACATTGTGCTCAGAGTTGAATTTTATCCAACAACATTCAATTCATTTGCATGGTGGAAAATTTGATGAGGTAGGCGGAATGTTCTTCTGATATCGTTTTCCGCTTGGAATGGAGTCCTTAAGGACATGATTACCATAAAGGAGTTGGTGAGTTGTTTCCCTTGGCTCTCTCTCTGCCTCTGTACGAGAACCTGAAGGCAGAAAATAACTGGCGCTGAAAGTAAGAAAGAAATTTCGAAAATTATTGTCTTTTAGTTAATTGCTAACTTAAGGTCAAATTGATAAATTTCTATAGGGATACAACAACATATTGGATCTGAACGTCAGTCTTTTGAGAATTTTTCAAGATCTAGCAGATGGGACAAAACTACATTTTAAAGAGAATTTTCTTCCATCTAGAAAAAATATTCATTTATTTCGTATTACACCGTTTATAATAGTTATATCAATTTTACTACATTATTCAGTAATTTCTTTTGACAGTCACCTTATTTTAACGGATTTCAATATTTTTATTTTTGTATAGATTGTCATCTCAAATATTGCACTTATTGAACTTTTTATGTCAGGATATGGATCAAATAATAAATATTCTTTTTTAGGTGACTTGCGAGCAGTAGCTCAATCAATTAGTTATGAAATATCATTAACTCTATATGTTTCATCAATATCTCTATAATGTCTTCATAGATTATTAGTTTAGTGATCATGTTTTTGTACTTTCAAATTTTGGATCTTGAATGACAAATGATATACTCGCTGATCATTATCAAATGAAGTGTGATATTGTAAAAGAAACCAATAATAGATATTGTAAATTTTTTTCTTTTTTAAGTGGATTAACTGTAGATAGTGTTCCTTCTCTCTGTGAATATTATTTTTTAAAGAAAACAAAATAAAAAAACCTGTTTTGGTTGACTATTTCAGTTTTGTGCACACAATTATAAAAGCGAGAAAGAAAATATAGTGTTTTTTAGAAAAATGGTAGAAATTTTAATCTACTTAGTTGATAAAAAATATACTTTAACTGTTGCCTCAAGGTTTATTTCCTATAGATCCCTTACATTATATGTTCCACGAAAATTAACAAACAAAATTAGGCCCCATAGGATTTCTGACTTTCACTCCTTATAGGACAGGAGCGCTTCAAGACTAGGGTTAAGAGAGAGTGCTACACTTCTGCCGGAGTGGATTGAGGCACGGAGGGACTGGGTTGGCTTTCCCACTTTACACAGTTTTAGTTGCTTGGAAAAGACCTGATAGACAGAGGAAAGTTCGATTAAGAGAAAAAATCATACTATCTCCCGCAGACACGGTATACTAAATCATAGATTATCTCCCTAAGTCTCATGGTTGTCTTTCGTTGTGCTAGCCCTCATCAGGGAACCTTAGTGTAGACCGTTCAATTAAGAGCTCCAAGACCGCGGAAGGTTAATCAACTAGTTTTCCAGCTTGACATCAAGGAGCAGACTCTTGGCCAATTACTGGCATTGACAGCTTGACGTTTGCAAACATAAAAATGAACACAAACCCAGAAAGAAGGCAATAAGATAGAAAAACCGAAACAAATCATGCAGACAACTTCGGTGAGCAACAGACAAGTGGATTTAGGCAAACAAGGGCTTATATCACCAAATTAATAAAACAGTTAAGGGCACCGATAGCAGGCTTAAAGCTGTTCAAACTGCTATCCATCCTACCCAAAATGCAACTGTGATTTACATTTCATAAGTCCAAACATGGGAGACCAATTCCCTACAGCTACAATATAAAAACATAACTACTCAACTAATAATAATGATAATAATACTAAAACAACTTAAGTCAATTACATCTTATCAACTTAACAATACATCTCAACAGGTTCTTCACTCAAAAGCCCACTGATTCTCACGACGAACCTCTTCCTCCTCCTCTGGTGTGAAGTCATTCTTGATGTTAAAAGTCTTGCGGATCTCTTCAGGTGTCTTTCCCTTGATCATGTCTGCAACTGTCTGGCAGGTAAGGTCAAGCAAACCCTTGATGTTCAAATAGTTCGCTGCCTACAAAGATTATACAAATAGCACCTCAACAAAGTTATATTTCAAATTCAACTCAAACCAAGAGTCAATTAGATAAAGCAAAGTTGCCTCAGCACAGAAAATTCGCATAGGAAAAATTTATCGTAGGGGACTAAATTTTGTGTTTGGGGACAGAATTCTTGTTACCACATCAAAAATTCTTCCATCTTGTCAAATTTTCAACACATGATGCCAGTGTTATCTTCTTTTGCTTCCAGAAAAAATTATAATTTTGACCACTAAAATGCACAATCAGAGTCCAAACCTCAGCCAAACACTAAAACAGAAATAAATAAAAAATGTAAAACCAAAGAACTGCCAAAATCAACCCCATCTCCCAGTAATATTGTTCCAACAAACTAAAACAGAAGTAAAAAAAGAATGTAAAATGGAAGAACCTCAACACCAATCCCATATCTCAGTCATATTATAAGCATGCAAATTTAAAAACCCCAAGGCTCAAATTCATTCCCCGCATGGAACTGATTACCTTGTAAATTGCAAAATACGTTGGATTCCACAATACGCAACTTTGAAGTGAGACTCATATGAGTTTGGTCTCTCACATCTTAATATCTAGTTTTTATAGTGTGGTTCCCTAAACTCATCAATAATACCAGAGTTATTCATCAACTTTCCAAGTAGCAATTGTGGAGCACAGTGGGGGTAACGTAGAAATTACATTGTTCACCCAAAACTGGTCAAAAAGAGCTAATGCAAAATTAGACTGCATGACCATGGGAGTGCTTTGTGGATTTAATCGCAAGGTACCAGACTTGGATCTCACTTTCCGACTGTGATAGCTAGCTAGCTTAAACTTATCAGTGGCGTCAGAGCTATTAATTGCCTCGCCGAGTTACAATCTTGGCACAGGATATGACGTTTAAAAAAGAGAGTAGCGTATTGTTATGTGCTAAATTGTAATGTAACTTGGATTCCCCATCGAATGCCACTTTGGTGTGTGGTTTATGAATTTGGACTCTCATACCTCAGTAACTAGCTTTTAGGGTGTGATTCCTTAAAACTCATATCAAGAATCAACAATAGGAAAACAATATCTCAAAATTAGATCCCAAAAAAAATCCCAATTTAGCGAATGTCCCTACATACACACCACGCGCTGTGCCACCGAGCCTAAAGAACCTAACATCAAATCAAATAAAGATTCCTCTTCTTCAAATAAAAAAAACTTAAAAGAAAGTAAAAGACTTACGAGAATTAGATCGAAGAGGGTGGCCTGGTCAACTTTGACAAAATCGGCGTCCCAGTTCTTGAGCTCCTCGTCTGCGGTGCGGTCGTCGGCCTTGGGGGACTCGACGTGTTTCTTGCAGTACTCGACCACCTTGGAGAGGATCTTGCTGGTCACGTTGGGCAAAGGGATGCCGTTATCGGCGCAATCATCCTCTATCATGTGCTTAATCGTCTGCGATTCGAGCGCCACCGCTTCATCAACCTCGAAAGCCTCTCCATCGGAGCTCTTCAACACGATCTTCCTGGTCGAAGCCATCGCTTTCGGCGAATTTGTTCCTTTCCGAAAACAAACCCTAGCGGTTAATCGGTATCGATTTTCTCTCTCACACACTGGGTCTTTGTATTATGTGCTAGGAAGAGGGAGGCGGCTTTATTTATAGCGAAGAGGCGCCAGGTTCCGTGGGTCATTTTCCTACCAGGACAGATATGGTATGGGGTACGTGGCAACATATTATTGGTTAGAGGATTATTTCTGGCAGCCGGAAGGGTTATTTGCAATTTGATCAACGACGTTTTCTCTTAAACCGTGAGGTAAATGTAATTTTATTTTAGTGTTTATTTTTAATTAAAATCATAAATTAGAATATTGACATTTATTTTTTTAATTTAAAAAAGATTACGGCAGCAAATAAAATAATTTTTTTTATTAAAAAAAAAAATTAGCAATAATTAAGACAAGATATTATATGGCATTAAAAACAGTGCTTTCAATTAGAGAGACATCCCATGCTTCCTTAATCTTTCTTTAGTTTCCTCTTTTTGAGAGGATTGGAGAATGTCATTTGAAAAATAATATATTTATCACGAAAAAATAATAAGAAAGATTGCAAACATTTATTAATGACTCATAACACTGAAATTATAATAATTAAATTTTTTTAGTTTCAGTAATTATAATAAATTAAAATATTATTTTTTTTTTAAGATGATATCAAAGTTCATTAATAATTTTTTATGTTAATTTGAATTTAATTCTTTTAAGTGTTCTTATGAGTCGTTCTGTTATTTAAAAAAAATTATTATTATTATTAACATACAATACTTTTTTTTTTGTAAAAAAATGATATATCTATATTTTTAAATATATATATATATATATTAAAAACAAAAAACAAAAGTAACTACTTAACTAGAGTTTCATTAGCTACCATGTCACACTCAATATCTAGAGGGGTAACAAGCGCCCATGCACTTGTATGTTTTAGGGGAGGCTTACTTGTCTTATAGTTTAAGTCTTTATTTGTTTTTGTTTATCACTGTACTTTTCTAGTTTAAGCTTATTCTAGTGAGTTTTAAGAGCTTACTGGACCATAAGTTTCTTAACTCAAGCTTTAATTTTTCTAGTTAGAGACTAACGTTCTTAGGGCTAACATGGGTTTTGCTCAAGAGCCTACTGGTTTATATGAATATTTAATGTGTTCTCCTACTAGAGAAGTTATTTTCAGAGGATAAACTATGTATTTTTGGGATCTGTGTGCTCCTTAATTAGAACTTTTAAGGAGTTCTAATGGTTTGGACTTGAGTAGGTTGAAAAAACACGAAATCTTGTTGTACTAGCATGAGCTTTTTCTACATGCCATAAATAACCTATAAATAGGAAGAATCCTAGAACAAAATGAAAGGTAGCTAATCCCCTTTTAAATTGAGTTTAAAGAATCTCTACTAGTTAAACATTTCATAAATTTGAAAGTATTAAACTTAAACAAGACGTTATATAACCCTAAAACTTAAAAAAAAAACCCTAAAACCTTTATAAAAAAAACCCTAAAAACTAAAACCCTAAAAAGACTTCCAACAAAGCTTCGAGATGACTGTAGGAAGAAATTTTCTTCCATAATCCACTAATCTACCTTCCTTTATAATCTTGGGTAACCTTATCCACCCACAAAAACACTACTTAAATGGATATTACTATCGTATTTATTTTTATATCATTATTTGGAGGAGGACATTAATAAGGAAACATGTTCTTTTTCTTGAGACTTTTATAGTAAACTAATTTTATATTCACAAAAATAGTTCAAAATTGGAAAATAATAAATGTTGTTGTGATCTCATCTCACCAAAACTCGAGGACTCATATTAGAGTTAGCAAAATAAAACCCCATCTTACTCCATTCTCAACTTTATTGCATTTATCATGCATAATAAGTTATATAAAGAATCTAATTTTACTAGGCACTTCAAGCTTTCATATTATCGTTTTGACTGTCATCACCAAAATTTCTAAAAGATAATTTATAAACTAAATTGCAAGTGCAATAACAACCTTTGTTCCACACCCGACAAAGATAATACTGCATAACCCTATTAACTCAAAATATACATTGAGAATTTCTAAACATAGTACTTATGATATCTTCAACCTTATCCTATAAAGTTATATTCACCATCCTTAATCACCACTTGGCCAAGCAAGAGCTATGTCTCAACTTCACCTATTTGAACCTCTAGGCAATCTGCAACAGGAAAAATATCCGAAGGAACCAACAAAAAAATTAGGTATAATGAGCTCTAGTCTTTATGACCAAGCATGTTGGTTTTTTTCTAACGTGTGGGTTTAATATAAATTTTGGTATGCGCATCAAACTATCAATTTAATTAGGTTATTTAAAAAATGATCAAATATAGTTAAACAATATTTGGACTTAATGAATCAAATTTAAGTATAGGCTTGTAACGTGCAGATATCATTTTTGTAATATTCTCATTTTATAATGAACGAAATGAGAATTACAAAAGTTTATCGATATAAAAAGTGGTTATGGTCCATGAATCATTGGGTTGTCATTTTTATTTTTCTGAAATCCCGTTACCATAAAAAATTAATTTCACAGCGCTGTGTTGATTCAGAAAATCCTACTGTCGGACGCAAACAAATTTTCTGCGATGAATTCAGGTACGCTTCCGCTCATATTTCTCATTAATTCAATATAATAATACATGTTTAATTTTTACAGATCTACGGATTTAAAAAAAATTATTTTAACAATTAGTATAAAAGTTATTTCTCGAGATTTAAAAAAAAAAAATTCATCATATAATTTTGAATTTTAAAAGATTGAAAATTTTAGATTTTAGATTTTATTTTTATTTAGTTGAATTTATATATATTATATATATGCAGAAATATATATATATATATATGTGTACATATATAAGGATTAGGAATATATATATATATATTTATATGAATATCAGAAATATATATATGCAGAAAATTAAGAAATATATATGTATATATATCCAAAAGTTTAGTATTATATATGTATATATATATTTTAAGGATGTATATATATATATATATATGTGAAGCAAAAAAACAAGAAGGAAGAGCAGCGGCCGACCGCCACTGCATGAGGAAGAAAGTCTGGCGGTTCGACAGCCGAAATGGCTGCCAAAAGTACATGTGTAACGGCTGAAAATTTCCAGCTGTTACTGTAGCAATTAAGAAAGAAAGCAGTCGTTATAGGCTGCGTGAAGAAGAATGAGAGAAAAAAAAAAAAGGAAAAAGTTTTGGGCTTGTTTCGGTTTTTTTTTATTTTTATATTTTAAAATTAAGTTATGTGGGTTTGGTCCACAAGAAGAGAAGAAAAGGAAAAAAAAAAAGGAAAAAGGGAGTGGCCCATTCGGTTGGGCCAAAACCCATGCCAGTTTGGGCTGGGCCAACCCAGTCCGAATCCAACCCGACCTAGTCAACAGACAATGGTTGGCCAGTCAACGGTTAATGGTCAGCTTTTGACCCAAAAAAAAATAATGATATTTTTGCTCATTTTATTGTTGATTTTCTTCTTAATTCAATTTAAATTTGGTTTTAATTTTGAATTTTAATATTGGTATGAGCATATACATATTGCAATAAATTAATTTACACAACATGTCACCAAAGTGACTTCTCTTATAAATAATTTATTTATTTTATAAAGTAAATAATTGTATAAATGTAATTTATGCGAATGTTAATCGACTCAAATGAATGTTAATATTTAGCATTATTACATTCTATTTTTTAGGTAATGAATACATGACAGTTATTCAGTATAACATGTGAACTTTAAATCGACTCAAATGAAGGTTTATTGTTTGATATATTTCTACTGTTTGTATTTAATTACTGTTATAAGGTATCACTTATAAGTTAATATTCTATCTAAAGATAGATTGTAATGAAGTGCTCGGTATCTTAATATGAGAATATACCTTTATTTAAAATTCATTATTAAATTTTATGATTTACAGTTCTATGTGAGTATTAATTACTTTGTTTTTGTATGTTCTCTGTTCAGTTCACTTTACCGCTGAAAATATCACCGTGAATATTAATTATATCCAAATGTTGAAAGATATAGACTTTTTTACACTTTTGTCGACTCTTGTTTCGATGAAATATAATAGAGAATGAAACATAAAAGAGTACATCAAGGAGATGTCTAATATTCAAGCTAAGCTTGGAGAACTCAGTCTGTATATATCATAAAAAAATGTTGGTGCACATTGTTTTGATCTCTCTTCCTCCACAATTTAATAATTTTAAAGAGAAATACTACGGTCAGCAGAAATCATGGATTCTCAATGAGTTAATTTCACACTGTGTTGCGGAAAAGGAAAGGCTAAAGTCTAATAACACAAAGAGTATTAAGTTAGCAGTGATCTCAAAGAATAATAATAACAAGAAAAAGAAAATAGGTAAATATGTTGCGGTTCCAATACAACAAAAGAAGCAACAAAAGGTTAAGAAAGAAAATGTTTGTTTCTTTTGTAAGACTACGGGACACTAAAAGAATTAATGCGCTAACTATCATGCATGGTGCGCAAAGAAATGTATACTTCTTAATTTTGTTTATTCTGATGTTAATTTAACTTTTGTACCTACACACACCTGGTGGATAGATTTTGGTGTCACAACTCATATCAGTGTATTTATGCAGGGTTACCTTCGTTGCCGCTAGCCAAGTGATGGTGTCACCATCATTAATGTGGGCGATGGCAAACCAGTCGAGGTGGAAGCAATAGGCAAATTTATACTGTTGTTAAGAACTGAATTTTATTTGGATTTAGAAGAGACTTTTGTTGTACCATTGTGTAGACGGAATATGATTTCTGTTTCTGTATTAGACAAATTTGATTATTCATGTTCATTTGGAAATGAAAAATTTAGTTTTTTTCTTAATTCAAATCTAGTTAGTTCTAGTTCTTTCAATGCATGATAATCTTCATTTATTTGATATAATTTCTTCTTATAATAAATTATTTCATATAAGTACAAGGAGTATAAAGAGAAAATTAATCAAGGAGAATTTAGTTTTTTTATAGTACAATAGATTAGATTATATCTCACAAATGAGAATTAAGAGACTTATGTCAGAAGTAATTCTAGATCCCTTTGATTTTTTAGATTTTAATAGATGTGTTCATTGTATCAAGGAAAAACAGACAAACATTAAGAGATTAGGTGCCAATAGGGCTATGAACGTATTAAAACTTATTCATACAGATATTTGTGGACTATTCCCTACGGCTTTTTGGAATGATTAACAATATTCCATATTTTTTATAGATGATTATTTAAGATATAACTACTTATATTTCATTCATGAGAAGTTTCAGTCCCTGAATGTGTTCAAGAGTTTTAAGCACAAGTTGACAACCAACTTAACAAAATGATTAAAACTGTTAGATCTGACCATGGTGGTGAATATTATGGTAGATATGACGGATCGGGTGGACAGTGTCGAGGGCTATTTGCTTGATTCCTATAGGAATGCGATATCGTCCCACAGTACACCATGCAGGTTCTCATAGCATGAATGGTGTTGCTGAAAGGGGAAACATAACACTTAAGAATAAAGTGAAGAGTATGATTAGTCATTTTATCTTATCCGAATTACTCTGAAGAGAAGCACTAAAGACCGCAATATATTTACTAAACAAAATTCTAACTAAAGTAACTACAAAGACCCCTTATGAGCTTTGGACGGGCAAGAAGGCTAGTTTGAGATATTTACACATTTAAGGATGTCCAAATGAGACAAGGCCTTATAGGCCACAAGAAATGAAACTGGACTCCAGAACTATTAGTAGCTATTTTGTTGGTTATTCTGAGCCATCTAGGAGTTATAAGTTTTATGATCCCACTGCTAAGATAATTTTTGAGACGGGAGATGCTCAGTTATTTGAGGATGTTGAGTTTGTGGGGGGAGAAAAAGTTCGCGACCTTATTTTTTAAAAAAAATTGACCGATATTCCTATTCCCTTTGTTGTTCTTGACAATTATCAGAATCAGGTTCTTATACCTAGCATTGTTCAAGAAGCAACTCCAGATTCAGATAATGTCATAGTATCTCCTGTTCCTGAAGCACAAACTTCATACCATCAAGAACTTATGTCATTAAGAAGATCCACTAGTAGGACAAGTGAAATTCTAAATGATTATAATGTATATCTCCAAGAACATGAGTATGACATTAGGACGGTGGAAGATGATCCTATCAACTTCCGTCAAGGCATGAAAAATTATAACTCTCATTGCCTAAGGATATAAAACATATTGATTGCAAATTGATATTTAAGACGAAAAAGGATTCGAAAGGTAATGTGGAGAGGTACAAGGACCATATTGTCGCCAAGGGCTTTACACAGAAAGAAGACATCGATTATAAAGAGACTTTCTCTTCTATTTTGTCGAAAGACTCTTTCAGGATTATAATGACTTTAATATCACATTTTGATCTTGAGTTACATCATATGGATATTAAGACAGTGTTTCTCAATGGTGACATTAATGAGATGATTTATATGGTGCAACTAGAAAACTTTGTATCTAGAGATGCATAGCAAATAGTTTGCAAACTAAAAAAATCCATCTATAGACTTAAGCAGGCTTCCCGTCAATAGTATCACAAATTTTATCAAGCCGTCATGTCGTTTGGTTTTGAAATGAATTTAATAAAAGATTGTTATACAACAAGTTTAGTGGGAGTAAGTATATTTTTCTAGTTTTATATGTCGATGACATATTGTTTGTCAACAGTGATGTAGGCTTATTACACAAAATCAAGAGATTTTTAATAAAAAAAAAAAATTGAGATGAAAGATCTTGGGGACGCCTCTTTTGTATTAAGGATCCAGATACACCGGGATCACTCTCGTAGTATTCTTAGATTATTACAAAAGAGTTATATCGAAAAGGTTCTTAAAAGGTTTGGCATACAGAATTGTAAATCAGGTAACTCTCTTAAGTCTGAAGGAGATAAGTTTACTCTAAGTCAATGCCCCAAGAATGATTTAGAAACTACGAAGATGCAAAAGATTTTTTATGCTTCTGCTATAAGAAGTCTTATGTATGAACATATTTATACGCGCCCAGATATTGCGTACATTGTTGAGATGTTGGTAGATATTTAAGCAATCCAGGTATAGTTATTAGAAAGTAGTCAAACGTGTCATGAAGTATCTATAGAGAACAAAATGTTATATGCTCACATACGAGAGGTCAAATCAGTTGAAAATCATTGGTTATTCTGATTCTAATATCGCCGAATGTCAAGACAACAGAAAATCTACATCATGTTATATTTACTTGCTTGCTGGGGGAGTTATTTCTTGAAAGAGTGCTAAACAAACACTTATAACATCTTCTACTATGGCAGTAGAGTTTATAGTTTGTTATGAGACATCCAATCATGGAATATGACTACAAAAGTTTTTCACGGGGCTGCGTATTGTTGATGGAATAGAAAGACTATTAAAGCTATTTTGCGACAATAAATCTGCAGTTATATATTCCAACAACAGGAGCTCGAAAAAATCAAAACATATAGATATCAAGTTTCTCGTTGTTAATGAAAGAATTTAGAGTAAACAGATATCGATAGAGCATATTGAAACAAACTCCATGATTGTGGATTGGTTTCACTGAGAGATTACCACCTAAAGTCTTTCATGAGTACACTGCTCATATGGGTGTTATATCCCTATATGATGTGTAGTTTTAGTGGAAGTTTTGTACCATAGTTGCATTTATTTTGTAAGATATGTCATAAACTTTGTACTTTTATTTGGTTATGTATATATAGTTTTATTTCAATTTTTGTTTTA